CCCAGCCACTCAGGACTGGCGAAGCGGCAGGCTAGGAGCCTGCTGGGGCTGCCAGGGCTCCCAGCCCCATGGGGCTTCCGGCACCAGTAACAGTAACTAATAAGCATCCCCTTCTCGGTTAACCAGTTACCTCCCTATTGGGCAGTAGCAAGGGTGGCGGCCCATACGTACAATTCAAAGGCCTCGTCGAACAGAGGGTGGAGCTCGTTCTTCTGGCACTGCGTCGTGCGCGCCACCACCTCGGGGAACATGTGTCGCGGCTCCAGGGTCAGCTGGACAAAGGGGTCACTGGAGCCTAGCGGGTGGAAGGGAGACAGTACAAGGCTTCTGCGGGGATCCCCTCGGCTTCCAAGGATCAGTGCCGTGCCGGATTGTTTATGCCGCCCCTCCCCCCCATGCAACGTGCTCCCAGGGCACAAGGGGGCAGAGGAGGGGACTGGTTTGCCGTTCAATTTCCCCTCCACGAACCTGGCTGGGGGCAAGTGCCCATTGGCATCTGGACTCTTCAAATCAACGGGCTTAAGTGGGGGATGAGGAGGGCAGTTCTCAGCTAATGAGCTTGCCACTGCTTTCAAGTGACGCAACAGTGACCTCTTCTGGACAGCTGCATGATTTACACCCTTCCCTAGAGGCCCCACTCCGGGATGAGGTGGTGTGGGCACGTGGTTCAGGGGGATGCTCCGGTCTGAGGCCTCCCCACACTTGCTCTGTGTGTGCGCCGCATGCTATCAGGAGCGGAGACAACCTGGGATCAGTTCTATGAAGCGAGCCAGACGCCACCTCCCTGCTCAGTCTGCTGGGCTCTGTGCTAAGCTTGTCTCACAGCCACCGCTCCTGGCATATCGAACGGGGGATTTCAAGGCCACCTAACTTCCCTGGGATACGAGGCGCACAGCTCAGCGCTGGGCACTGCTGATTGGAAAGGGGCCTGGCGAGGCCACCTGCCAGCGGTACTGGCACTGCGCAGACTCACTGCTGTACCCCACTCTGGTGCCACCAGCTTGGAGGCTGCGCTGGACCCCCTAGTGGCACCTTCGGGCTGACGTTCCCGCGGCCCAAGGGATCTCACCGTTGGAGTCCAGGGGGATGAGGTTCACAGCGTTGAGCACTTCAATGCGGAGCTTTTGTTCCGAGGGGCGGTAAAGAGCTTTAATGGTCACTGCCCCGTACTTCTCTGAGTCGATCTCCAGCTGGGCACCAGGAGAACAGAAACAAGAGGCCTCCAGTTATGTCCCATCACTTGCTCTGCCAGTAGGGGAGCACAGGGCTGTTTATCAGGGTGCAGAGCCCAGAGCCAGGCTCACCGCATGAAGTAAATCCCAACACTTCGGTATGGGGGCCGGGGATGGGCAGATGGACATAGCAGTGACTCTCCCCTCACACCTCCTCTGCTAAACTCCAATCACCTGCCCTTCCCCATGTCCTCCCTGGGATGAAGGAGCAGCACCTTCTCCATCCCCAGTGGATCCTGCCCCCTGCACTGTGGGAGTGAAGGATAGGAAGATGTCCTGCTTTGATTAGGAAGGGCTGTAGACAGGTCCTGGATTGTTGACTGTTAGTGTAACGCCAACAGGCGGAATCGAACCTGGGGCCTTTGGAGCTTAGTGCATGAACCTCTATCCACATGAGCTAAAAGCCAGCTGCTTACTACTAGCCAAGGCTGTATAGTAGATGCGTCCTCTCTGTACATGGTCTAGATGCGGCAATGCACCACACCCAGCAGGTGAGGGGGGTTACATCAAAATAGGTCTACAATGCAATAAAACACTCATGGTGGCCCACAAAGGGGGAGGGGGCCCAAGCCTGCCGGTTTACACTGCCGTTTTATAGCCCCACAGCCTGGGCCTTGCGAGCCAATCAACTGACACAGGCAGTTGCAGGTGTTTGATTGCAGCGCAGATGCGCCCCTAGAACACCATGTAACAGTCAGGCCCAGTTTATAGAAGGAAAGCCACACAGAGGGCTGTGCTTTGTAAAGGGCCCATTCAGTGCAACAACAGTAAGTCTACTCACTGTCACGGGCCTGCAGGGGGGAACTGGCTGCTTTATTTAACTGCATCCCAATGCAGGGAAGGGGAGTCCCATTGACTAACGGGACGTGGATGGGTGGCCGAGGGTGATGCATGGCTCTAGCCCATTACTCACTACATAGCTCAGTTAACCCTATCATGACCACTTTCCTACCTGTGACAGTGGAGGACTGAAGGGAGGGGCTGGCCCAATGGGAGTGAGCAGGGTAATGGGGCTTTACTGGGCAAGCAGGCTCTCACCTGCTCCCGGATTCTCTCATTGAAGTATTGCTGGATGAGCGTTCTGCTTGGGGCGGATCGGAGCTCCAGCTCTTTCTCTAGATCCTGAAAGATGGGGGCGGGGGGAAGAGGAGAATGCATCCAGTCAGGCATTCAGGCCAGCAGAGATCAGCTCTCACCTCTGCTCCCTCAGACCTGAACTTCAACTCCCCGAGATGGGGAGCAGCAGCAGAAAGAAGCCACCAGGAGGCTTGGGGTCAGAGGGGACCGTCCCTTCCCATCACCCTGCAGGAGCAGACAGCCCCAGAAGCCTTAGCAGGCTCAGTGGTGCCTGCCCCCCCGCCCACCACCGTGGGAACATTTCAGCAGAAACATTGCAACAGGAGAACGGCCAGACTGGGTCAGACCAACAGCAGCCAGTACCAGCGGGAATGAAGAGAATGGGCAGTCATTGAGTGATGCATCCACTGTCACCCAATCCCAGCTTCTGGCAGCTGGAGGTTTAGGGACACCCGGAGCATGGGGTTGCACCCCTGGCTAACAGCCACTGATAATGCCATTTCATGAGCTTATCTAAGTCTTTTCTGAACCCTGGCTCAGCCGTGCCAGCAAGTTCCACTGGGCAACTGCCTGTTGGGAAGAAGCACTTTGTCTGAAACCTGCTGCATCCTGACTGCACAGAACGACACGTTTCTTGTGCTAAGTAACACTTCCCGAGTCACTCTCTCCAAGCCATTTATGATTGTATAGACCTCGATCATATCCACCACTGGCCTCTTTTCGAACAGTTCCAATATTTCATCTCTCCACATATGGAAGCTGTTCCATACCCCTAATCACTGTTACCCTTCTCGGTACTTTTTCCAATTCTACTACATCTTTTTTGAGATGGGGAGACCAGAACGCCATGAGATATTCAAGGTGCGGCATTTTCTTTCCTAACAGTTCCTCCCATGCTGTTAGCTATCCTGACTGCCACATTGAGCAGATGTTTTCAGAGACCTATCCGCAATGACTCCAAGATCTCGAGTGGTAACAGTTAATTTATACTCCAACATTTTGTCTGTATAATTGGGACTATGTTGTTTTCCCAATGCGCATTACTTTGTATTTATCAGTGTTGCCATTTTTTTGCTCTGTTACCTGGTTCTGTGAGATTCCGCTGTGACTCCTGGCAGTCAGCTTTGGACTTAACTATCTTTAGTAATTTTGTATAATCTACAAACTTTGCCACCTCAGGGTTTGGCTAGACTGCTTTCCTCTTCCAAAAGAGGAAATGCAAATGAAGCGCTGATTAGCATTTTCTCATGCTTCATTTGCATATCATTTTTTCAGAAAAGGTTTTTGCACAGAAATAAGCAGTCTAGACATGGCTTTTTTGCACAAAACCCCCCGTTTTTCGAAAGAACCTGTAAACCTCATTTTTTGATAAAGGTAAAAAAGCCACATCTAATCTGCTTGTTTCTGTGCAAAAACCTCAGTGGCTATTGCCTTTTCCTGATCACTTATGAATGTGTAGAACAGTACGGGTGCCCATACAGATCTTGGGGTGACTCTGCTATTCACCTCTCTCCATTGTGAAAACTGACCCTTTGTTTCCTATCTTCTAACCAGTCACTGATCCAGGAGAGGACCTTGCCTCTAATCCCGCGACTCCCTACGTTGCTTAAGAGCCTGGGTGAGGGGCCTTGTCCCTGGCTCACCCTTGTCCACCTGCTCACTGATCCCCTCAAAGGATTCTAACAGACCGGTGAGGCCTGGTATCCCTTGACAAAAGCTGGGTTGGCTCTTCCCCAGTGTACTGTGTCCATCTGTGCATCAGATAATTCTGCTCTCCAGTATTTCACCCAATTTGCCTGGTACTGAAGTTAGACTTACTGGGCTGTAACCACCAGGATCACCTCTGGAGCCTCTTTAACCGACTGGCATTACATTAGCTACTCTCCAGTCTCCTGGGACAGGGGCTGATTTAAGCAACAGACTAACTATCCCGATTAGCAGTTCTGCAATTTTATATCTGAGCCCCTTCAGAACTCTTGGGATAACAGCACCCTACCCCGGTGACTTATCCCCATATAACTCATCGAGTAATTCCCCCACTGACACCTCAGTCTGGGACAGTTCCTCAGACATGTGACCTAGTTCTGGGATTCTACAATTCTAAAAAGAACGGCTCCGGGGGGGGGGGGGGGACGCCAAGAATCCATTTAGCTTCCCCACGATGGCCTCCAGTCCTTGCAGATCTCACCCTGGGGCGGGGGCTGTACTGTGAGCGCTAGCCCTAGCGATTTACTAGGGCGGGCAATTACAGCTTGGGACTCCAGCAGCTTTGTGCACATGCAGGCTTCCCCGCATTGGTCCCCTTGGCTGGGAGATCACTCTGCTACGGCGGCAGGTGCGGTAGCATCTTACCATGAATTCCGCAGTGTGCAGGGCGTTCGTCGGCAGCCCGCAGCCCTCGGCGTGGAAGCAGAGCTCCAGGCTCTATGGGAACCAGAGAGGAGTGAATAGCTAGTTGTTATGCAGAGACCCCCAAAGCCAGGCCTCTGCCCCAGGCTCTGCTGCCGGGTGCCACCTACCTGCAAGGCAAACTGCAGCTTCCTGTAGTACCTGGAGGAGCTGAACTGCTGTTTTGCTGCAGCTGTCAGGACACTCAGGATGTGGTTCCAGAGCAGATCCAGGAGGCTGAGACGGGCGAGGGAAAGGCAGAGAACAGATTGCAGCTCACAGGCAGTTCTGGCAGGGCCAGCCCAGCCCAGCTGATACCGTCAGTCCTTGGACAGGAAAACGTCGGACCCTAATTTCTCAGTAGAAACATGATGCTACTGGACTTGGCTAAGCTCTGAGCAAAGAGAAGCCCAGACCAGAAGGGAGGAGGGGAAGTGAAACCTGGCAGACTGTCCTGAGACCTACTTCCATCGCAAGAGGAGCGCAGGCTTGTTCCACTGCAGTAGAACAGGACTCATCTACTGCAGTAATAGCCCGTGCACTGCAAACCAGGGGAGGGCTCAGCTCATGGACTTGAAGGTCAAAAGGGACCATAATGATCATCCGGTCTGAGCAGCACATTGCAGGCCACACAATCTCTCACCCACTCAATGGGGCTGGAACAATTTTTAGGGTGGAGATGTTGAGTTATGCCTCCTCCCCCACACACACACCTGTTTTGTGCCCCTCCGACAGCTGCCAGCTGTCCTGGACCGGAACAACCGGACACCATTCATGGCAATGGCATCCAGTCCATACGTTCTGGGACAGCTGGTAACCCTGGCCCATCATCGCCCACAGAGGAGCCACAGCTGGGGCAATTGCCAGGACCAGATGTGGGATACTGGGTGGCAGCAGAGCCTCTAGGGCCAGTGGCCTGGACCCAGGGGTTGGCAGGGCCGGCGGGCTGTGGAGCGATGGGACCCTGAGAGCTGGCAGAGCTTGTGAGGTCAGCAGGTGGCAGCAAAGTCAGTAAGAATATGGAGGCCAACAGGGTCTGCCAGGCCAGGACCTGGATCTGGTGAAGCCGGCGGCAGGTTGGCGGGGGGGCTGTCCCCCAGGCATGGGGAGGCTGGGTGCAAACCCTGTGGAGAGGCACAGCACCCCCTCCCACACACACCCATAATTTCTATGCCTGTGCACCAAGTCCTGAGAAACTCCTGATCTCTGGCTGAGTTACTGAAGCCCACAGATCATGGTTTAGTGACTTCAGGTTACAGAGAATACACCATTTACACTTGTTTAAACCAGCAAGTGACCCATGCCCCATACTACAAAGAGAGGCAAAACACCCCAGGTCTCTGTCAATCTGACCCGAGGGAAAATCCCTTCCCAACCCCAAATACGGTGATCAGTTAGGCCCTGTGCTTGTGGCCAAAATACACCAGCCAGACATCTGGGAAAGCATCCTCTGCAGTAACTCAGAGCCCTCCCCATCTGGCACCTCATCTCCTGCTGCTGGGGCTATTTGCTGCTGGCAGTCGCAAATCGGGACAGTCCCATCACACCAGCCCCTCCGTGAACTTCTCAAGCTCAGCCTTCAAGCCCGTTAGGTTTTTTGCCCCCTACTGCTCCCCTGGGAAGGCTCTTCCAGAACTTGGCTCCCCTGAGGGTTAGAAATTTTTGCCTAATTTCAAGCCTAAACCTGTTGGGGGCCAGTTTATATCCAACCCTAGGCATGAAGTTCAGACAGATCCCCATAAACATGTCTCAGGAGAATATTCAGGCGGGAAGTGATGGTAAGTGGGGAGGTAGAGTCTATCCCTCCAGCCTATGCTGAACCAATGGCTCAGGCCAGTGCAGAAAGCACCATGATGCTAGAGATTGCACCTGGGCGTATAGACTTCAAACAGCGGCCCTAGGCATATCCCAGGATACTCCTAACGGGTGCAGGGCTGTTTCCTGTGTGATAAGCTGGCTGGGACTCAGGGGTTAGTGTGTTCTTTCTGCCTGAAACCCCCCTCAAAGGGCCTATTGGCTGTAGTGTTTCTGGGCTAGACAGGCTGCCGCATTCCACCCCAGATGCAGCTGCATTTCAGCAGTGGGTAAAGGATCTCTGCAGATGCGCTCCACAGAGCGTTTTGGGATCTTCGGGGACAGAAGGTTCTCTAGAAAGTAGCATAGTTAATGGGAGGACAGAGAAGTGGCAGCAGCAGAGAAAGCACCTTACGGGGGCTGCTGTGTGCAGCCAGCCACGACTGCAGGGAGCCCGGTGGTCCAGTCCACAGTACCAGACTCTAGGCTCCCCCCTTGCCCACACCCAACCCACGTCTGCCACCTGTGACCCCAACACCGTGGCTCACCAATTAAAGTTCTCCTGGACCAGATGCTGGTTCATGTACTGCAGCTCCAACTCCAGGAACTTCATTAGGGGAATTACGGACTGTGGAGAGGAAAGAGAGTCAGGAAACTTAATGGGGAAGGGGTTTCCCAGGCCTTGCCTCCATCTGAAATATCTCTGCCAAGCAGCTCCCAAGCCCTTTGGGCCCCTCTGCTGTTTCCCAGCCTTAGAGCTCTGCTTTGCCAGCCCTGCACCTCCCACGCTCTGTGCCCACCTGACTGCTCCAGGGAGGCTTGGAAGTGCATATTTGGCTCTTGTTTTGGAGAGAGCTCATGAGCCTTTGGACTGGGTGTGTCAAGGAAGCAGCAGACACTGATGGGGACCCTGGGAATGGTATTCCCCTCATGTCTGGATTCTCCCCATGGTATCTGGGCTACACAGAGCGTATAGCTGGATCGGTGACAGTCACAGACCTACCTGACTGCCCCTCCCCCCCCAACCTACCAGTGACACACCAACCCCCACAATCCCATCCTATAGCTCTCCTGACCAGCCCCTCTTGGCTCCCAAAGCTGCACTTCGATTGCTCCATCTGGCTTCCCAGTCACTGAGGGTGTGGGTGTGTGCAGGCACGAGCATGTGCGCCCCCTGTGATCTCTCAAAAACATGGGGAGGGGAGTGGGGACGAGGTGGAGAGTTACAGGCAGGAGCCAGCAGGGGGTGCTGAGAGTCCAGCAAGGGAGGGCCCTAATAGGCCACTTCCGCTTGTTAGGTGAGGAAGGGCCAGGACTAGGGTGTCCAGGGATCTGGTTTTCCACCAGCACGGTGGCTCCACGAGGGGCCCTGGTGGCTCTGGTCAGCACCACTGATCAGGCTGTTAAAAGTCTGGTTGCAGGGCAGGCAGGCTCCACGTGGCTCCTGGAAGTGGCGGCATGTACCTCCGACCCTCCCAGGAGGCTTCGCGGCTGCCCCCACCGAGGCCCAGGACCATGGCCAATGGGAGGTGAGCTGGCAGCATGTAGTGCAGAGCCACCTGGCTGCGCCTTCGCCTAAGAGCCGGATGGACACGCGGCTACTTCCAGGCGCTGGCTGAGGGCAGGCCTACCCGGAGCCTGCACCCCTCCCCCGCCTTGCACCCCAGCTCCCAGCCCAGAACCTCCTCCTGAACCCCAACTCCCTCCTGGACCCAAACCTCCTCTGCACCCCAACTCCCTGCCCCCCACCTGGAGCCCCCCTC